GTAATGTTTTCAACAGAGGTCTTTTTTTTGCCTTCGCTACGAGTATGATATAATCCAGGAAGCGGCTAGTATTTTACCAGGGTGACATGCATGCATACAGTTATATACAAGTTTACAGTCACATTTCCTTTTAAAACATCATAGATATATCTGGGTGCCACGAAAACTATATTAATGATTGAAAAACTGACTGGATATATAAAAAGACAAAACTTAGTTCAAGTTTTTATATTCAGTTTTCACAGTTATTTTTAATGTAATTACAATGAAAAATTAAATAATAATAATTATGTATGAAGTCTTTGTGCGGGTACGATGGTAGATTGCATTTTGTGACAGATGATTTAAGACTGTAACTATCATATTTTCTAACATGCATCAGAGACACTTATTGCGGAGGAGAGAAAGGAACATGTAATATCTTTCTTGTTCGTTTGCATATATATAGTTACCTGTTAGATTAAAGAAGATTCTATACTAAGTTTCAACTTAGATAACACAATCTTGAATAGTTACTTTATCGACAAAATAAAACTTCGATGGAGCTCAAACTCCCTCGACTAAAATTTCTTTTACAAAAGTCTGACTTAACAAAACTTGTCTATGAAGTGTAATCATTAGTTATATATCGGCCCAACTATATACCCTTGAGTGCATCATTTGGGCCAATTGGCCAGCGAGTCGAACCATCGATCTGTGATGACGTCACAATAAATATATTGTTGGATGTCTCTCCCACAGTCCTGAGAGTAATTTACGATTTAGCTGAAATTAGACATATTGCAATTGTAAGTGGTTTCCGTAGAACATTTTCCTTTAACTGTATCCATTTTGCATCCAAATGTCTGAGAGGTATCATCCATGAATTAGCTGACAGAAATTTGACGTGTCTGCCAAATGAAATCAGAAAGAAATTGTTGCAAAATGTAGAATTAAATCAATAAATATATATTTGAGAACAAAATATATTTCGAGAATGATCACACACGTCTACCCGCCTTCAAATCTTTGAACTCCGTCTATAAGTGTCAGATTGCCGCTTCACACATTCGCAACACGGCCAAACTATACACATTCAGCGAATCCGAGATTTCTGAATTTATGTTATGTTGGTGGAAATTTTCTATCACTTGATTTTTCTCTCGTTTTTCACAAAAGAGAGGGATTTTAACCTCAATGGCTCCGGTCGCAATCCATTCGATACATGTTTTGCGTTATTCCGCTTATTTTGAAGTAACAAGTATGATATCATCACCGTCATGATGCATAATCTTAATTGATAATGGCTCTCGTACACAACCCATGGATAAGAGTTCTTCCAACAGAACCAGTAAACCACGAGGTATATCAACACGGAGATATTGCAGATGAACAGAAAAATATGCCACCAAGACATGCTTCGTTTATTGAGTTTTTTTTGTAATGAAAGCTTTTTCTGAGAACAAAAAATCATTCATATTAGAACTGAGGATTCAATTCACTTTTATTAACAAAATTACATAGTAATTTGATAGCAATATTAACAAGCAAAAACATTAATGTACACATTTATCAATTATCATTAATATTATATTTTACTGATTACAGGTCCGCCCTCCTCAGTTCTAATATGAATTAACTTACAAGTCCTCTATAATCTGTAATCAGTAAAATATAATTTTAATCATAATTGATAAATGTGAACATTAATGTTTTTGCATGTTAATATTGCTGTCAAATTACTATGTAATTTTGTTAATAAAAGTGAATTGAATCAAATCGTGTGTGAAGACATCATTCTGCACGATTGGTGATGTTGGGTTCGGGTACAAAGTATTCGCGGACACAACATTATATAAGAAATATCAAAGGCTCCGAATATCAAATCAACACGTGCGCGTGTATTACGGTGGAATAAAGTATCACATCGTCTCAGCCACGAAATGAAATCCTACTACAAACATTAAGAGATACTTGAATAATTACCATGATGACAAAAAACACTGGTGGGAATACATTAAGGAAACTGCACCAGAGCCCCAAAACATAACCACCAGTGGCGACCAAAAAAACCTGAAAAAAATTCGTGCTAATGAAATTAAAGGGACATCACGTGAAAAGGCGTTTTTTTTTTTAATGAATGTATGTATTGTATGCACTTCCACTTATGTTACCTCGCTATCCCCATATTCATAGTCCGTTCCAAATGTCCAGTTTGACCACTTGAATTGTTCGGGAAAGCCCGGCTAAAAATAGCGCCGATAACGTCACCTGATTAGGCAGCAAACACAAGTGGTGCGAGCGAGATGAAACGGTTTACAAAGGGGCCCTCAGAGAGGGGCCGTCAGGCAACTGCAACTTCTTACCGCACTATGAAACCAAGTTATATGATTTCTAATTCCGTATTCAAACTTATTGAACAGTAATTATTCATCATCAGAAGTTAATTGCACACTTGCCAATATTAAGAATTTAAATTTATTTAGCTTTTAACATAAATTTGTTGCCAATAAAATTAAACAAAGGATGGGGCACAAGTTTTTACAATTTATCACAGCCTTCTCCCGTGACCGGTACAGGTGGTACGGGGCTAAACACTCCCTCAACAATGGGACAAACCTTTCTGTAAAAAGGAATATTCACGAGACGAATATCCCTTTTCAAATGTTTACATAAAGTGCATATATGCAATGACAAACTACACGCGAATATAAAAAGGAAACGTTTGTGAATTTATTTATTACATTAAACAACTCAATGTCTTTGGCCATTTTTTTTCTAGACCATGAATATAAATCTATGTATACTCTCTTTCCCACTTTCACTGTCTCCAAACGCTAACATTTAGGAAGTCATATTAACCATCACACACAATAAACTGTATGGCAAAACCACTACGTGTACATGTAGAATATGTGTCAATAAGGAACGTGTTGAGATACTTGATAATTATATTTTTTCAATACTTTACAGAGATTAAAGCATACTTTTAAATGGACCTTTTTATGCTGAGACAACTTTTCTTTAATCAGTTCCTTTGGTCCGAAACAGAAGCCGTAGTTATCGGCAGCACGCGCCATTTTTATAACGTAATCAAATATTTTTTCCCCTGTTTTCAATACGTATTCCGATTCTATCTGAAGTCGAAAATTTATTCTTTATAGAGAAAAGGTTGTTACATGATCATACATTCTAAGTCAACATCATATGAAAACATGAACTGTTGAAAAATTACGATTTAAAAAAAAAGTGTTATGCGATCCTATTTACTAGAAGTAGGTTCTCCTTCCTCAGTTATTCATCCTGGTCCGTCATTTTGACATTTTTAATCTAGCTGCGATAACGTAGCTTTCTGACGAAGAGCGATTTTTTTTTTATATATTGCGTCGTCGCGCCAGGGCAGGCCGGGTATTATATTAGTACTAATTTAAAACTTGCATGTCAAAACAAAAAACAATCGTTTAATTCAGCAATATAATTAAATCATACCATTTTACTGATCCCGGTAATATTATAAATTATGTAAATCTAATAGCGCACGTATCTCATTTGACCCCGAGCACCGACAGAGGATCAGAGAACAGAATACGCCGTGGCCATCACAGCAGTTATCCCTTGGGGGGCCTCATGGCAAAATCAAACTAACCAGTCACTTATCCCTTTCGTTTGCATAAACCACTGTATAATTATAAAAAACACAAAGTAAACTCTCTCCGATACATACCCATTAACATATTAAACTAAGTTCATCTGTGTTCAAACTCACACAATGATACTAGCGAGGTTAATAGTTTTAGATATTTATTCATAACATAAACAGTGCTAGCATTTCTGTCGATTTTATTTCAGCTTAACCGGCCGCTATCCGGAAGAAAACATGCACCGTACTGACTGCTAGGGCAGTTATTTTCTGCTTTGAATACTTCCCACTGGCAATAATGATTCCGTAACGTACCCCTTGCGCTATCTTTTGACCATTTGGCAACTATTCGCTTCGTAGCTGACACGGTACAACACTTTTCTTTGGCTTACTTCACACGGCCAGTCATCTTGTTTACAAAGAAATGGTGTGCTATGCGCATGCGCTAGTAGAGGGAAATCCCGGTCAGACAGGTAGAAATACCGATGATTATCTTAGATTTAATCATTTTTATGAATCTATTTCAGCCAAATCCGGTCGGCATTTTCCATAAGGAGTCTCACTTGATATGTTTATGTAGTATTTGGAAAAAAGACACAAAAAAAAGTTACTTCAGCGTGATGCCCCTTTAAATAAGAGGGCCTCTCTCTCTCTCTCTCTCTCGTATTTTGCGTGAAATCATACTCAAAAGTCGAATATCCATTAATACTATTGTTAATCAATAGGCTTATTGAATTTTTCAAATCTTGAATCAAATTCTGCACATTCACAGCCGAATTTTGCAAATAGAAAACATTCTTACTATTGCAAAAATAATGAATATATTTTTGGTGTGTATAGGTATGCAGTAATAAATTGTGTAAATTTTGGATGTCCGAAAAAATCGATTATTGCAAATTCATTGTTGCAAGTGCCGCAAAACAATTTTTAGGGTTCTGCAATTTTTGACATATATATATGCAAACATATTTACTGCCAGTCCACGTCATTTGAAACCAGGATTCTGGTGTTTTTCACTCCTTTTTCTTGATTTAATCACGGAATAAGTGCGTGATTAAATGTTTATTTTATTACACTGTAACATTTGTGTCGAAATTTTAAAGTAAGCAGAAAGTCAAACTGTGCGTTAAAATCTGTGTGATTTTTCCGCGATGGGAAGTAATTTATGTGGGAAGTAATTTATGTTTTATAAACATGGGCCAAATGTAAATTTTGTCTAGAATATTAGCAGTCAGTCGCAGACAGAGGTGTATAGGCTATAATTTAACACATAATGTTGTTGCATTGTAAAACCCCTAGTACTAAGCTATAAAAGTTCTGCCTTTGGAATAGTGTATAAAGAACGACAACTCTGGAAGATTATACAGTTATCTGGCGAGACCATGACGAGACATTACGAGACGTGCGACTTCTTCCGGCCTGACTTCCTGGTTGAAATGAAGTAGACAGGAGTTTTGAAGTTATTTTTCGATGGGATTCCTCCCAAATATAACTTTATTTATAAGGGTAAGTTGTTTTATAAATGAGGATTTGTACCAACATTTTGATATTACGATTATTCCAAAAGATACAAATTACACCCCTAGTTGTTATTCCACATCAGGTGTGTCCTAGTTTGTTGTTCATGATTTGTCATCAAACGGGACAGCCCGTCACTGTCACTCTACAAGTTACAACTGAAATGGACGGGTACACAACGGAATGGCTTGGTGGCTGCATGCTATATCATCATAATTACATCGGGTTTTTTAATATGAAACAACAGGTAGTTGGTAAATATACCTTATTCGATATAAGACAGATTTATAACTTTACACCCCGTCCGCGTATGGCCCCGAAATAAAACTGACCATAATCGCGGACTCCAAAAATTTAGATTTGTGGACTTTTCTATGTCCAGCTATCTACTTCTCTATTAAACACAGGAATTCGATGCTCAAATCTGCCAACACCAGTACTAGTGTTGTTTTTTTACATAAATTTATACAGGAGAAAATATACCTAAAAACAAAATGTAAAATAATTCATTTCTCGCCCTCATGACCACAGTTACTAGCCAAATGCTATAACGTTACTTCTGATAATGTGACATTTTTTTTTATAAATTGTGTCGTTAGAGCTAAGAGGCTGCCCTATGCCAACTAATGGAGCTAAATCAAAAGTGTGTAAAATCTGTTAGATTACATATAATTTCCCCCTCATATGAGTATAATGTTATCAAAATATTGCATAATAGTAGAAATAACAAATACTTACATATAAAAAACTTTTGAACAAAATCAGCCAAGTCCACCTTGGAAAAAAACCCAACGACCAACATGACAGATCACGAGTGATGTTTCTTTAATCAACTGTTTCTATATATGTGGCCTGCATGGCCAAGTATAGTATCACTACTGATGCCACCATGTTTACTACAATTTCCATATTGGGTCATGACACCGATATATATAGAAACCCTATATCGGAAGAGAGATGAAGTTTCCAACATGGCGTTCAATTCAGATTTCAATTTTCCTTGCTACCGTTTACTTAACGACATTTTATCAAGTTATATAGGAAATCATCAGAAATAGTTCATGTTACAAACCTATTTATTGAAACGAGGCTAGTGCTCTTGACTATTTAACATACCCCAACTCTTCATATTCTGGATGTTACTGCATTTATTTGATTAAATTGCAGTTGACTGATAAAGAGTTGAGGAGGGGGCAATGCGCATAAATCATCAAAATTATATATAAACTATATTGTAATAATGACTTTATAAAAAAAAATCTTTTGCATTCAAGTGATGTAATTTATATATAGTGTGTATGGCAATTGGTGTTTTTGTTTTTATAAAGAAGAGTTAACACAGGCCACGCCACCTCAGCAATTCGATGAGAGAAAGTTTCAAAAGATAGCAGAACCATGGGTCAGTGCCTGAGTGACTCTGACCGCCCTCCGACTCGCCAACCACCTCCGGCCAATGAAGTCATTGACAGTCAGCAGGTGTCCCTACATGTCAACGATGTCAATGTGGCTATAAGTAGTACGAGTCCAGTTCGTCCCCTGCCACCCCCTCCTCCCGCCAGAGGTGAGTTGTGAAGCCATGCTTTCATCATTACATTGCTTCATTATTTTAGCCTTCATACTGCTTGCTCAAACAATTACACATGTATATCCAAAGGCGAAGAGTTGCATGAGAGGTATAAATCTTACTTGACATAATCATTCTTGAATCAGAAATATATTTTGGAAAAGATCAGTAATTTTGATAAATGTACTGCAGTCTTTTTAAAAGTATAGATGATTTAATGTAGTGAAATTCATATCAATCATGTCATAATGTGTCCAGTGAAATGAAGTTGGGTAAATTTCCACAAGATTTCTTTTATAATATACATTTACATTAACACGTTGAAACTATGTTCTATGTATTACATTGTTTCTGTTTGTGTTTACCTATTAATATCATATTACATGTATACACTGTGTACAGTAGCTACTAATAATAATGCCTGTTATTCTGTAACCAGTCAAATGTAGACATAGCTTAGTTACAGCCACCCCTACTGCGTTTAGTAGGAGTAAATTATATTTCATTGTCATTTCACAATGTATTCAGTAATTCTAACTTTTACATACAATTGATTATTCATTTATTGATGTATGCACTAAGTAACATTTTGTCTGAATGTTTGTCATGTATTTATGTTATTTCATACTGTTAGCAGCTCTGTGTCTATAGATGGTATATACTGTTAGCAGCTCTGTGTCTATAGATGATATATACTGTAAGCAGCTCTGTCTATAGATGGTATATACTGTTAGCAGCTCTGTCTATAGATGGTATATACTGTTAGCAGCTCTGTCTATAGATGGTATATATACTGTTAGCAGCTCTGTGTCTATAGATGGTATATACTGTTAGCAGCTCTGTCTATAGATGGTATATACTGTTAGCAGCTCTGT